GATATTAATAGTAGTGTTTTCATTGGAATTATAGACAAAAAAGAGAAGGGAACAATCCAAGACGGGAGGCGGAAAACAGGTACTTCTAGAAGAACCTAGGGCGCCGCGTGAGACACATAAATTGCTTCAGGTTTGTTTTGCAACTACATTTTAGCTACATCTTTGGCTGCATTTGTTGACAATTCAATCATATCTAAGATTCTACCACGTACTGGTTGTAATTCATTTTCCCTAGTGTCTTTGCTCTGAGAAGGAGTTTTATTTTTCAGGTTGTTGGAGGGACAGCTCGAAGGAAGAAATTGCTCTCACCAAAGAGTATGGATGTGCGTCCCATGATGGAAGTTGTAAAAGCTGCTGCATTTGGCATTTTGCAAGTGAGATTCTTGTTAGCCCTTTACTGCAGTTCGTCTTTGAAGTAATGCAAGATATACCTTTTTAATGTTGTTAAATATAAATTGTTTTCCACTGTATAGGCAGCCGGTGGTTGCCCTGCGTCTTTAAGGCCTGGCCGTTGGTTAGACCTCTATAGTGGGACAGGATCAGTTGGTATAGAAGCCGTCAGTCGAGGATGTTCTGAGGTTAGCATTAAAACAGTAACAATCCTTTTCAGGATCATATGCTCTATTTTATTTACTTATTACTAGTGAAACTTTTATTGTCTCCATATTTACTTAAAGTTAGCAGTTGATTTGTGGAGCTTTATATATTATTTAGTCTTTATATGGCATTTTGCGCTCATAGCATTTGTGTATATATCTGTTTGCAAATTTCTAGGTACATTTTGTTGAGATGGACCCTTGGGTTGTCTCAGATGTTCTGCGGCCAAATTTAGAATGGACTGGTTTCCTTGATGTCTCAGTCATACATACTGTCCGTGTTGAGAGCTTCTTGGAGCGGGCAGAAAATTTTCTTGGTAAGAGTTTCTCTTCCCGTCCATCTGTTGCCCCACAAGAGAACTAAGTTAGGGAATTACTAGTATCATGAATGAGTGATTCTGATTTAACTCTCAATTGGATCTCTCTCTCTCTCTCTCTCTCTCTCTCTCTCTCTCTCTCTCTCTCTCTCTCTCAAGAGGTTCATTGAATCTTTTATCTGATGTTTCCTTGTACATTTGTTGTACAAAGTAGAAGGTTATTACTCGCTATGAAAATGCAAAAAGAATATTCGTTTACTCACCTTGAAAATGTATAAGATACAAATTTGTTTGCTTTTCTTTTTTATTTGATCTTTGCTATCAAAAAAGGAAACACCTTGAACATTTTTACTGAAGTTAATTCTTAAAAGGTGTAGGCTATACTGATAACATTATATCACTTGTGGTATCTCTTTTCCTCGCACTAATGCATTTTTCAAGATCATTGCGTATGTCAACGGGTGGGCAGGTTGGAGGTGAGCCTTTGTTTCGTACTAACAGTAGGCTACCTCTAACTGTTACCATCAAGTGGGTTCCTTATCCCCTTGATGAGATAGATTTAGAAGGCATGGAAATACTAATTCCCAGATGTAGGACTGCATTGTAAATTTTGGATCTTGTTAGTCAAACAATCAGTAAAGGTAGTTGTGATCTGCATACTGCAACAATCATTTTGCAATAACATTGTAGAAGGAGGTCTTTGAATGAAACTTAACCAGATACCTAATATTTATTACCTGCAGTTGGTAATTTCATGGCGGAGAAGAGTAATAATAGAGGTTTGGGATGTTGGGGGATGGGGGTGGGTATTACAGATGTGGTTGGAGCTTACCTTACCACATGCTTGGCCCCAGGCCAGTTTAACCCACTTTCTGAAGGTTCGCTTGATATTGTAGTTGATTGTGGCAATTCAATCCTTTATATCCTTTCTTCACCAATTCTGTACTTCTGCAAAATTTGCAAGCAGTACAGTTTCTCTTCTCTTTTTCTTCACTTGCATGATCTTCTTTGTTATTTTGTCTGGCAGTGGTCAATAACTGAACAGTTAGTTACAATATTGAGGGAAAATGTGTTCCATAAACAAAGCTCTAACTATGCAAGTTTTATGCTGCTCTTTCACTGAAATATAACAGTCAAAGATTTGTGTTTTTTTTTTTTTTTAAATTAATTTTCCAGGTGAAGGTGGGAGCTTTGATTATATTAGTGTTACGCCACCATATGCTGCCGTTGATTACAGTATATTAATGAATCAAATTTCAAAATCTTCAGCAGTGGGAGAGAATACATTTATAGTAAGTGTTGCAGTGATTGTGCTTTATTATATCAAATGTGTTCCTTTTCTGTCCAGAAGTTTTTCTGTTGTTGGTTGTCAGCTTATTTTTGTGTATTCAGTTGGTGGAGTACCCCTTGAGAACTGACATGCTGGATTCATGCGGGTGTCTTGTTAAGGTATTGAGCAGTTCCCCTCCCTTTTTTTTTGAGATAAAGAGCAGTTCCAATTTGTCAGTATTAGGACAGCACTATCCCCTGCCCTGCTCGAGTGGATGTACTAAGACATTTCGTTATTGGATGTTATTATTAGAAATATAGCTGATTGCTTAATGTGTAGGCTGTGATTTCCATTCTGTCATTAGTAAATGTGCTTGGATGGTGTTTTCATCTTAACAGAAACTTAAACGTTTTACAGAGCTAGCTGGATGTATTGTTCAATTATACACAAAGGAACTAATTCTCTTTCCACAGCGCACTAGAGTGAGACTAGCCAGTTAGGAGTTAGTCTTAGGATGCTACTAATCAGCTACTGATGATGGGCTTTATCTGTTGGTTATTAGTATACTTTACATCTTTCTCGTATTTCCTATATTTCTTATATTGCTGTTATTTTGTTGTTTTATGTTATGTTATGGATTTTATGTTATTTTATTATGAGTCTATTGATAGTACTAATATAGCGTCTCTTGATGCTTTCTTGAGTCGAGGGTCTCCTGGAAACAGCCTCTCTGCCCCTCGGGGTAGAGGTAAGGTCTGCGTACATATTACCCTCCCCAGACCCCACTTGTGGGATTATACTGGGTTGTTGTTGTTGTTGAACTAATTCTCTTTCTCTTGTTACTTAATAATGCAGATATCTGATCGGCGGTTTGGTCGAACACATTTGGCAATATATGGACCAAAGTGGGCGCAGAAGAAGAAATATGTTGAGAAAACAAAGAGATGGCAGGAAAAGCTGGATTTGTTAAGGGATGTGGAGATTTCGGCATCTTAAGTTTAACTACTGAGAATTGCATAACACATCTTATAGTCAACAGAGGGTGTAAAATGCTGTCAGACATTTGATTGCCCCATTTCTCTCCATCTATTCACATGGTAATCTTGCTTTGGTGCTCCTTTGTCGTGATACATCATTAATGGTCCTCTTGCCACAGTTGTCTTCTGATCAATCAGATGGATCTTTAAACTGCAGGTCAATTGCTTCTTGGGGCATTTTGCATCCCTGGCTGCCCCCATTGGGATGACATACTTACTCACTCATAATGAGCAGCCGTATGTAAGAATGCATTACGAGTTTTCTGCAGGGTTTTGCTAGTAAATGTAAATATATATTATTACCTATTTTACACACAATGGATCTTTTAAGTTATATCGATGTGGCATTCCCTGTTTATCCTTGCTTTGTTTACGTTATGATAATGGAAAATGCCAAAGAACTTTATTCTCAATTTTCAAACCCTGAATCTGATCTCCCATGTATTTCGTCCAGCATTCTCTTTTCAACATCACATTCAACTTGTTTATGGAAAATTTCGTGTATTTTTTGAATTTTTGAATAAGGTAGTATTAAAAAAAAGCTGGAAAAGGAGCATGACTGATGGTGATATCATTTCTTTTGTAAAGATAGGTCAAGAAAAGATGGAACTGTTATTTGAACATTCGCGATGGACCACGTTATTTGGTACCTTGAGTTATATCAGAGGAAGCTTCTTTGTCCTACCTTTGATCTGAGAGTAAAGTATGTCAGTATTTAGGCTTATAGAGATTGGTTTCCTCTCAGGATTCAGTATGATCTCGTATCTAATGAAGCAGAATAAGTGGGATTAAATGCTTTGAATATTGAATGTGGGTGTCTTAGGCTTAACATGAATTGAATATACAGTCTGACACCCTCCTAAACCTGTGTTGAATGTTGGCATTCTATTTTGAAGTTTGGATGAGTGATAGCATCTTATTTTAAAATCTGGATGGTATCAGTTGTAACGGGTAAAAGCTATTCTACTTCATCACTAGTGTACCAAACTTTGGTGTAAATATTCCATCTTTCATATTCACATGTACACTTTTTTATATCTAAGAATCTCTTTTTGCTTAAAAGCTTTAGATTCTATAGGGACCGCATTGTACTGGTCCTGACTGCGATTATAACATACTGGAGAATGTGCTTGCAGATAATGTCTCTTCTTATAGAAACTATTTTTCTCTTTAAGGTTAGAGTAAAATGGACATTATTAAGGACTGGATGATGTGGTCAGAAGGTTCTTATGCCTTTTGCAGACACTTCTTTTAAGGAGTTTCCTTTACAGATTCTTCGGATGAAGAAGATACGTGACTTCAAATACAAGTATATATTCAAGACTATTAGGAAAATTAATGACAAAATAGAGCTAGTAAAATTTAAAGCCGGTGCAAGAGGGGGTTGCTTTGCTTTTACTTACGGGAATAGCACTTTCAAATTAATTCTGGAAATAAAGATTTTTCTCTTCGATTTGCTCTGACGGGGATGTGGATGATTTTTAATCTAGTAGCTCCTTAGGGGTCATTTGGTTGGAATAGGGCTTATGCCGGTATAAGTTATGCTGGGATTATTGTTTATTCACTGTTTGGTACTATGTTGTATTCAGAATGACAATTGTATAATTTCTAAGAAGAAGTTATAAGTTATACCGGTGCTAATTACTCCACCCTCTATAAGGTATAAATTATCTCAGTGTTAAAATTAACACCGGGATAACTTATACTTGGTTTGCTAACCAAACAGAGTATTAAGGTGGTATTAAATTTTTATACTGCCCCTATACCTTCTTATACCTCATACCAAACGACCCTTCAGTGTGTCCAGAGCACCTTTTCAATATCAGCAATCACGAATAGCCAATTTTACTGTAGACGAATCTAGAAATTGAACTCGATGAGTTCAAGCTTTTAAGTTCAACCAAATACATTTAAAATTGAATTTTTATATTTGTTGAAACTGTTGTACCATTACGCGCGCATATATATATGTTACGTTTTCTGTTGCCTCTGGATTCAACAATATTCAGCAGTAGGTCCCTTGGCTCTGTTGCATGAACGCTGCACCCGATATTTTCCATATAACGTATATTTTTGTATAAAAATTATTAAATTTCAATAAATATTAAATAGGCAATACATATAGGTCAAATTTATCAAGTTTAAATTTTAAATCTGCCTCTATGCATTGACGATATAAGGAAAGAGTTGCCGGAAAAAAATCAATATGAAAAATAATTGGACATCTTACTTTCTTATAGACTGTTCTCAACTTATCCCAATGCTTCTCTTCCCTTTTACCCCACATCTTCAGCTATCCCCATCCTTTTGTTGCTTTTCGACATAACGAACTTTAACTTTTCCATGCTATATATATTAATCTTATGGCAAACTATAGTACTCCATGAAAGCGCATTCCAACAACAGAATACAATTGCATACTATTTGTAGTTTCTGTTTACATAATACCAGAGAAACAATCCAGTATCCTTGTTCAGCTGATCCACAAATGGGCATTCAAGACCAAAGCGCGAAGTAGGAGTTGCAGAGTTATGGGTGGTGATGGTGCAACCAGCTGCGGTAGCAGTTTTTTGAAGGGTTTCTTGAGAGCTGTTCTTTTACTTAGTTTTCTATGTTGTGTATCTGCTGAGATTTTAGTGAAACAAAGAGCCAAAACTGTCACCAAAGCAGTTACAGGGACAACAAGCAATAATTTAGATGTTGGGAGGACAACAACACAAACTGAAAGGCATTTTCTTCCAAGGAATACCAATCTCAATTATGTCAGCAAAAGAAGAGTATGGAGCGAAGCTGATCCCATACACAACAGGTATTTTAATGTTTAACATTCCAACTTCAATACTCATGAGCAAGAGTCTTGAACACGCATATACTTCTATAGGTAACAAGTTAGTGTTTTTATACTCCATATTTATAAATGGTTTTCAGGGAAGCTGGAAAGTACATGGAAACACGCATTCGTGCTTGAGCTTAGGGGCAAAGTAAGAGGCTGGACAACAATGACGAAACCAGAAATTTCCGCAAGGGTGTTCAAACTTGAAAGAAGTGAAAACAATTCCCCCAAAAGGGTGTTCAGTTTTGGGTGTTCAGTATATGTTATACACCTCTAACACCAAATATACTTATTTATATACATAGTGTAATTTTTCGACGAAGGGTGGTCAATTGACCATCTTTCGGATAATGTAGCTTCGCCGCTGCTTGACAACTACTATTGCAAAGAGTTTCGCCAATCAACAAGATTTTTTTTGCTTGGAAACTCATTGTGCATTGCACATCTTGAGTACTAAGCACCATCTGTTTGTAGAGAAGCAAATTACAATCAAGTGAATGAAAATTTCAGCTACCAAATCAAATTCAAGAGGGCAAATAGCCTTTGAAACGCCCAATTGATTTCCAGTTTATCCAAAATCATTTCGGATAAGAAACACAACATCCGCATTAGGAACTAAAGATACTAATCAACAATGTCATTCAAGACTAATCAGAAGGGTTAATTGCCAATAACCTTGCCTAGGTTGCATCCCCATTGGATAAATTAATATCAATGTAAAGGCAGATATTTTACCAAACCAATCCATTCTGGAATATAGCATGGCCTGTATAGGCATTGCATCACTTTCCTTACTTTCACATATCTGTCAGGATTTTATGCTTTTTCGCTTACTAAAGGGGAAAAGAAGAATCCTCTTTTCATCAAACCTCCAAAAAGCAAACATGCAGAAATTATCAAATAGCGTCAACCTAGAGCAATCATCGACAAATTTTGAAGCTAAGGCAGCATAATCTTTACTCTTGTTTGGCTTAAGATTCACATCTGAAAAAAGGAATTTAGATATTTTATAATTTGATATACAAACAATAAACGATTGCAAGGGACCCGCTGAATATATGAAGAACAAAGGGGAATGCTCTGACCTTAAAAGGCCAATGCTCAGGTCAGTTGCAAAAATCTAAGTTAGTCGTATTACAGATTTCGAGCAACTATGTGACAGGTTTTGCTCAGTGTCTTGTTAATGCATAACTATCAGCTAAGGGAAGACAGAACATAAGAAACCAATAACACTTGCTATCTCTACAATAAATTTCAAGCAGAAGACATACAAAATAATTTGTCATTTCACAGTATAATACAGCAATATTCGTGGTAGTCCTTTACAGAACCATATGTATCGTTCCTGATTCCACTTGCACCTAAGGGAAGTGAAGAACTTACCGTAGGATATAGTTGTGTTCACCAGATGTGAAACATTTCGTAATGCTTTTCCGTTCATGCATCAAATGGAACTGCTGATATCTTGTTTGTTAAATAGTAAAGGAAAATCGTCAAACTGTTCAGAGAAACCTCGTTCCTCAGCCATGGTCTTTAGCGATTCATAAACTTGATACATAGACCACCTATCCTTGGGCCGAGAAATTACACAATTGCCAGCAATTTTTAGGAATTGCGCAATCTCTTCATCATGGCCTTTCCCACATATGTGCTTATCAATTGCATCTTTAATCCGATCAGAAACAGAGAGCTGATTTACCCAGTCGACCAAATTTCCCTTAAAACCTTCGTCAGCAGCAGTGATTTCTAGAGGTCTTTTCCCCGTAGCCAACTCCAAAAGCACAACTCCGAAGCTGTAAGCGTCCCCTTTCAGTGAAGCCACCATTGTACTTGAATACTCTGGAGCAACATAGCCAAATTCACCCAACTCTACATTCATAAAACTAGTCTCTTTTGCGTCTGAAGGTGTCATCAGCCTCGCCAATCCAAAATCCATTATTCTAGCATCAAAATCTTCATCAAGAAAAATAACGTTAGAACATATGTTTTGGTGCAAGATTGGCGGGTTGCAACCATGATGTAGCAAAGCAAGGCCTCTCGCAGCTCCCAAACCAATCCTAAACCTAGTCGGCCAATCCAACACGCTTGCATTCCCATTCAAGAATGAATACAAAGTACCATTTGAAAGGTGCTTATAAACCAAGAGTTTTTCTTCTTCAACAACACAAAACCCCAAAAGTGGCACCAAATTAGGATGCCTAACCTGTCCTAACCTATTCATCTCCATCCGAAACTGCTTCTCACTCAGCTTGCAAGTCTTAAGCCGTTTAATAGCAAGCGCAGAACTATCACGTAAAACAGCTCTAAATGTAGTCCCTGTCCTAGTCGAGTTTATCACACTTTCCATACTAAAATTATTCGTGGCAACCAACAAATCCGCTAACTTAACCTTCACAAGCGGTTTCTGAAACAACATAACTTGAGTAAGCCTATGAGCCCTCAACTTCTCAGCCCACCTATCCGAATCATCTCTCCCTAACCCATAACCCGTCTTCCTCCTCTTCTTCCCCGCCTTCGTAAAACACCAATACCAACCCCCAAATCCCAACAACATAGAAGCAGCAGCACCACCAAAAACACCAGCAACAATAATAATAGCTAAATTTTTCTTACTTAATCCATCACATTTCCCTAAAGGTCCACCACAAAGTCCATCATTACCTCCGAAATCAAACGAATCAGCCGAATCGAAAGCCGCTGGAATCCTACCAGAAAGATCATTGTTTGCTACAGAAAATGTCTTAAGCCTACTTAAACTAGAAAACTGGGGTGGTATATTCCCACTAAGCTTATTATCATTAAGCATCAATTTATTCAAGTATGAACAACTAACAAGATCAGCTGGAATAGAACCAGTAAATTCATTGTTTGACAAATCAAGGGTTACTAAAAAAGGAAGCCAAGTACAAATATCACAAGGGATTGAACCGGAAAGTCTATTACCAGAAAGATCAAGATTTTGTAAACTTTTACAATACTGTAATGAATCTGGGATTTTACTACCTCCGAGGTTCATGTCACGAAGTTGGAGGGTTATGAGTCGATTTTCACGGTCGTTCCAACAAGAAGCACCAACAAATTTGCAGATAAACCCCACTGTGGAATTTGCGAAATTCCATGATTTTAAGTTGCCTTTTGGATCTGTTAAGGAATTCTTGACTCCTTGTAAGCACTTTATATCATCTTCAGCTACAGCTGAATGAAGGGGTTGAAATACAAGAAATAATAAAATCAACATAAACAATCTGAAAAGAATCATCTTGAGATTTCAACTAGTGTGTTTGAGGATTTTTATTACATGAGAAATGGGTAAAAGGAAAACAGGGGCATTGGCTCGAATGATGAAGTGGAACCTTGGAATAAACATTTGGGAATTTGTAAAGTTTGTTTATTGCTATAATTACTCAATGGTAGTATTAATGGAGTGGAGTCTTCGGAGAGGATGTAATATATATGTCCTGTTATAAAATAAAAGTGACTTAGTAAAATGTAAATAAGAAATAGAGATCGGAAGAAGGGGTATTTCACTTCTTTTTGGTGTGTCTTTCATTATAATTTACATAGCCTTTTATAGGCATAAAATAAGAAGACTTACTATTGTAAATAGCGAATGGGACGGACATAAAGTAGGAGATTTAATCTGTAAGCTATTCACAATATGGGCATCCAATCTACAAACTATTTATAACACTCCCCCCTTAGATGTCCATGTAAAATAATGTGCCTCATTAAGAACTTACAAAAAAAATATTGGGATGTACATAGTTATTTATAATATGCATTGTTTGCTGCCTCATTAAAAACCTTACCAGGAAAACCCAGTGGGACAAGTCTCGAAGAAGATGCATTCCAATCTTGTATATCAGCTTTTCAAATGTTGAGGTTGGTAATGCCTTAGTGAACAAATCAGCTAAATTATCACTTGAACGAACTTGTTGAACATCTATTTCACCATTCTTTTGAAGATCATGAGTGGAAAAAAAATTCGGTGAAATGTGTTTTGTTCTATCTCCTTTAATGTATCTTCCTTTCAATTGAGTTATGCATGCATCATTGTCTTGGATTGTTCCCTTCTCTTTTTTGTCTATAATTCCAATGAAAACACTACTATTAATATCAACTAATTAGCTAAAACTCAACTTCCATCTGATTAAGGTTAGCCATATGAAATATAAAAATTACAGGGTATTCAGGCACATTTCCTAATTTATTTAAAAGAAACAATTTTTTTTTCCAGAGAGGTTTAAATAACATACCTTTGGAGAAGGTTCAGATAAGAACTCATCCGGATTAAGACCGTATTGTTCAAGTAACTGTCTTTTCTTATCAACTGAGAGTTCTTTTTTGGATTCTGCAAAATACCCAAGTAAAGGAATATTAAATTAAGTAGTACTTTTAAATTATAAAAAAAAAAACTTTCAATTTGCAACGAAGATAGAGGAAGCGGAAATAACTTACTGTAAGAGAAGGTGATAATGAATGGGCGGCGACGATTGGTGGCTGTGAAAGCATAACCGACGAGAGAAGGATTGGAGCTAAGTAAACTGGTCTCGGGGAATGAACGAGAGCCGAGAGGTGAAAGAAATGAAAGAAGAGTATGTGATGATGAAACCGCCATTTCTTAAGCCCCGACTCTCACTTAGCTAGCCGCAGAATTGGTGAAGCGACTTTGAGCATTTATCATTTTCTTGAGAACTCTGATTGGATAGAGTGGAGACTGGGAATTATGTGACGAAATCTCGAGGAATAAAAGTCTTTTTATTTCTTCCTTTTTTCTTCTTTTATTTAATCATGAATCAGAACTGCTAGTCAAATTGTAATTTTTTTCCAAAATAAAGAGCGCCTTTGAATTTACTGACTAGTCCATAAGATCTAGTGGCCGCGTTCGCGATGAACAAGCTGGTGACCCCTCCCCCGAACCTTACGTGTTCGCGAGTGTAGGGACGCATTCGCGAAGGGTCTCCCCTCAGCTTCGCGTTCGCGTCTAGAGTTTCGCGTTCGCGAAGAAGAATTGGGGCACCTGGGATATTTGCCTTACGCGTTCGTGAGTGGGTCCATGCGAACGCGAAGGGTAAAATCCCTAGGCACTAACAGCAGAAATCTGCAACTTTTTCTCAAGTTCAAAACTTCCTGAAACACATCCGAAACACTCCCGAGCCCTCGGAGCTCCTAACCAAACACACGTACTAACTCAATAACATCATACGAACTTATCCGTGCGATCAAATCGCCAAAATAACCTCAATAACAACGAATTCAACCTCAAAATCAAATAATTTTCTCAAATTTCTTAAAACATCAACTTTAGCAATTTAGGTCCGAATCACGTCAAATGATATCCGTTTTTTATAAAATTTCACAGAAACATCTTAAATCATATATAGGACCTGTACCGAGCACCGAACCAAAATACGGGCCGATACTAACATGTTCTAATCAAATTTCATTTCAAATTTCCTTAAACAATTTGAGAAAATAATTTTCTTTAAAAATTCATTTCTCGGGCTTGGGACCTCAGAATTCGATTCCGGGCATACGCCCAAGTCCCATATTTTTCTACGGACCTTCTGGGACCGTCAAATCACGGGTTCGGATCCGTTTACCCAAAACGTTGACCGAAGTCAAATTAGCTCATTTTATAACTAAATTGTATCATTTTTCACAGATTTTCATATTTAAGCTTTCCGGCTACGCGCCCGGACTGTGCACACAAATCGAGGTAACTCTAAATGAGGTTTTCAAGGCCTCGGAGACACAGAATGTAGTTTAAAGCAAGTGATGACCCAAATTCTCCACCTCTAAAACAACCGTTCATCCTCGAATGGACAAAAGAAGGAAGTACATGAGTCGGGAAAAAGATAAGGATAACGGCTCCGCATATCGGACTCGGAATCCCAGGTCGATGCCTCAGGAGGTTGACCTCTCCACTGAACACGAAAAGAAGAAAAACTCTTCGACCTCAACTGACGAACCTGTCGGTCTAGAATAGCCACCAGCTCCTCCTCGTAAGATAAGTCCTTGTCTAACTGGATAGTGCTGAAATCTAATACGTGGGATGGATCGTGGTGATACTTCCAAAGCATGGACATATGAAACACTGGATGCACGACTGATAAGCT